CACACACACACACACACACACACACACACACACACACACACACACACACACACACACACACACACACACACACACACACACACACACACACACACACACACACACACACCAATTTTGACAATGGCTGGGCTGGTCATAATCGTTCGGTTTCCAAAAAAAATAATTTCTAAATCAAACATGTATTTTATAATTGTATTCACTCTAATTAATTCATATTAGCCGTATTCTTCTTCTTGAGCCATTGCACCGTATTTTGGTTTCAAATCAACATTTTGGTTAAACCTTTTCGTTTTGATTTGCAGTGCTATGTTGAAATATGATTACTTTTATTATCATTATTATTATTGCACGTATTTATTGTGTTGTTTTATTTGTAATTAAAGGTAATAGTCAATGGAACTGAAGGGATCCTATGTGTTGCTAAGCATTTTTTCATAAAATTCAAGTCAACTTTGTATTCAACCAACTGTGTGGTAAAATAAAACAAGAATAAATGAGACTGTGCAACTTGATTCTTTGTCACCTATCGAAAAGCCTTGGTATTCTATGAATCATTCAACATTAACCAACTTTCTTATAAGCATTAACTTTTCAATTAATTCATTTGTTTTCTTCCATCGAATTTAAATAGGACATTTGTAATATGAGGATAAAGAAAAACATGAACCTGCAGCAGGCTTTTCGTTATTGGAGAAAATGGGGCTGAACATGCCTGCTGCCACAACCTGCAGGAGTCCCTCACAGAGCCTCAGGGCCTTATGTTATAAACTGGGACAGGAGGAAGAGGGTTAATTCTGTCATTCTTCAAGATGAAGCAAATTGGTGCCAATGCGTAATTTACCCTTGGCACACAGCCTTAATTTAAAATGCAGTCTTTAAAAATACATAGAATGATTTAAATTGCAGGAGGAAAACAGATTTGGTTGGTTAATATACGCTTATTAAAATCTGGACAATAATTCAAAAAGTGCATGTTAAATGTTTGCAAACACTGCATTGTATTTCATCAGGAAAATAACTGAGGTCAGCTTCATATTATCTTGACCGTTAAGACAAGAAGTGTGTCTCAGCGGAGAGCTCCTGCAGCCCCCGCTGATTCTGACGGTTTGAGCTTCGAATTGATAAAAATCCAAACAATCTATACATATTGTAGGCAGTATGTGTTTTGCTAACAATACTAATAATAGGATTATCATTATCATATTGCTTTAGTGAACACACTACCCAACATCTCCAGAACATACAGGTTCTGCAGGTGTGTTTCGTCAATGCACAATAAATGACAGGAAAGCCAATGTCACATCAAGACATTAAGATACAAATAATTAAAGAAAAACATAATCCTAAATCAGGAGATGTGTGTTAATTCAAGAGTAGATACTTGTTGAAAGAAAATCGTTACTTTTCATCCTTTCGAATCTGTGAACACAAAAATGAACTTTACGGCAATAGAGCTTTGACGCCAACTGACAATATTCATTTTTTTTATCTTAGATTTCCATCTCTCGATAATGCATTAAACATCACATATGAATTATGAAGACGACCCCACTTCGCTACACCTCTTGTTACTTTTAACACACATCTCATATTTATGTCATACATTTAAACATCGATTTGGATGGCATTTTAGATGTATGGAATTATTTATCCGAGGTTGTTTAAATCAATTAAATAACTATGTTTGTTGAATCTATGTAAACATAAAACTCTCACAAGCATTTTCGTACCGATAGGTACGTTTTTAACTGTTCGTTCATAAACGAAACTGAAATATCAGTTTTTAAAATGTGGGGACAACAAACACACAAAAACACCGCGCGCGCACGCACGCGCGCACGCACGCACGCACGCACGCACACACGCACACACACACACACACACACACACACACAGTGCAAAGGGCAGCCGTTGCCACCCCGGCTGAGTTTGGAGCGCTGCCCTGGGACCCATATGTTACCCAAAATGTCCTGGGTGCTCTCTACTGTAGGGACACACGCTTTGGATGGCGAGTGCTGACCAATGTAAATACGAATATTAATATCAGAGGCTCCAATATTTTAACTCAGATTATTTTTGCATTGTATTCCAAATAAATCTGCGTGGGCATCAGCTGTGGGGTTTGGAACAGAAAGCTTCAATACTAATCGTGTAATGTTGATAATCAATTATATGAACATGTATAAATAGCCTTTCATTTCAAAGAGGAGCATCTTTTCTGGATCAACTGATTTAGCGATTTTTCTATCAATGTTTTTCTTGTCTACAAGAAATGAATCTCTTTATATGCAGGTTTAAAAGTTTCGATGGTAAAGAAGTAACATAATGAATAAATCACTGCTTGTGCACAAGACCAAGAAAACATTTATACATTTCTAAATAGTTGAAGCTAAGTAATTCTACAGAATGTATAGATGAATATGATCATTTCAACAATTGTGGGCAGTCTTTGGAATATTTGATAAAAATTGTGGTATCTGCTTATTTCTATATAAGGCATGGAAATGACCCTTATAATAACTTTTTAACAATTACAAGTATATAAAATATGAAATATATCTGAAGGTTTTATAGGTCAAGTTTACACATAACACTTGTGGGTTCATGCTACTGTGAATTTCGTTATTTGCACTTTATAAAAGAGCAGAAATATTATTATGATTAAATCTCATCGTCATGGCAAGACGATTAGTAGCCTATAGTCCGTGAAATAATTGTATACTTTTTAATCAGGGAATAAATTCAGATATACATTTCGTTTTTATTTTATTTATTTAAAACAACTCTCTTTTTAGGTTATTTTCAAACCACTTTCTTAAATTACTTTGGCCTCAGCAATTGGCAGGTGCCTACCTGTTAATTCATTCATTAAAAACTTCAGGTTGGGAATCAAACCCGCAGCTCCGCAGTACAGGCAATTTTTTAACCCAACAAATGCTTGTGTTACTTTTTAGTTTTAGGCCTCTAACTCTTTCTTTTTTTGACCTAACCAGCGAATTAAAAAAAGTTGCTTGCAGTTCTGGAGTAGCAAGCCCAAAAGAGAGGCCAGCGAGCTTGCATTGGGAGAGGGCATCTATCAAAATACTCCCCGACCCCCACACCACCTCCTCCTCCTCCTCTTCCTCCACAGTCCGGAGAGAGTGGGAGAGAGAGGCTGGCAGGCTGGCGAAGGGGAGCCGTGCCAAGTCCCTTAATGTTCCCCAGCAGCAGCACCAGGAGCTCCGGAGAGGACAACCCAGTGTGTGCGCCAGTGTGCCAGTTCACCGGGCCAAAGTGGCACTGTTGGGAGGAGTCGATGTTTCTTTCCTAATTTTTGCAGCATCTGTTCATTATCCAGGACGTTTAAAAACGAGAGCGCTCATCCCGAGTAACCCCTTCTCACGCACACACTCACACACACACGGATACAACACTGAGGCCTTTTGGTAAAGAGTTGGCATATGAATATGCATTTGTACCTCTTATGTTATGTTGTTCATGAGCTCATGCATCGAGAGAAGGCTGGGTTGCATATTCAGAATTCACTGGTTGTTGTTACCAGTCCAGCAACAAATAAGAATCGACACACAATGAAGCCACATTTGATAGAATGAAAATGCCAAAATGTTGGTTAAGTTTGAATTAAAGGAGTTTGCCGTATGATTTTGAGCTTTGAAGGATTTTATCACATCGTTTTATTTGTCAAATGTTCAATGTTAAGTGTTCATACAGTGATACCATAAATAATCAAGACGGCTTCAGCTTCTGCAGGTCGTGTGTGTGTGTGTGTGTGTGTGTGTGTGTGTGTGTGTGTGTGTGTGTGTGTGTGTGTGTGCGTGCGTGCGTGCGTGCGTGCGTGTGTGTTATTTCATTAAAACAACTTTTTACAAAGTTTCCTAAAAAAATGGATAATATTTGACTTTGAAAATATAAAACATGAATGATTTAAAAAGTGTTTTTTAAATGACATAAGAGGTATTTAGATAAATTAAACAGATGTCCACAAGCTTAAAATATATATATTTAACACTTTTGCAAATTAATACTTAAATTCTTTGCCATAAACATGAACAACAGTCTGACCAGTAACTTGCAATTGCAGTCAGTCTTGAGAAGAAGAAAAAACAACTTTCAATGACACTCTATGCTCCACTCAAGATGAAAAGTGAGTGAATGAATCTCGCTGTTTAAATTATCATGTTCATGCCCACTCTTTTTCTCACTCAACTTGGTAAGGGAAAAAAATCAAAAGTGTTTGTCCGACATAACAGTCAATAGTGCGATTATCAAAATGTC